CAGGCATGTGTCACATAATGTTCTATAATGACTACAGCCAATTTTTAATTTCTTCTAAATCATTACACAAAGTATGTGTATTATTCATAGATTACTTATAATATCGCTATCGGTCCTATAAAGATCACACGAGACTGAGTCTTGTTAAAAAAATATAAATATTTATTTTGAGTAGTATCGTTCGGATGTCGAGAGATGACCACCCGTCCCCCGCGCCGCCCCCCACAGAGACATCCCACTCCGCCCCCCGAGCCGCTAGAAGAAAGTTGAAATCGTAAGTAGACTATTATTACTAACTACCATTTGTTTTTTTTATTGATGGGACACCGTATCGACATGTTGTCCTACGCTAAAAAAGTCAATAGGAGCGTATTTTCTTCCACAAATTCCACATTCTAGGAAACTCCTCTCACAAAACGTTGAGACCAACTAAAAGAATTACTCGAGGGTCAGTGATATCAACATTGTCTCATAATTTATTTATTTTTTAAGGCATTATATGACCGGGTAACTAAGACCTTTAAGTCACGTCTTACTTTAATTTATATTCTTATTTTTATGAAAAACTAGCATTTGCTAGCGACTTCGTCCGCGTGAAATAGTTACTTTGGCAGAACGCAAAATTTTACCTGCGACTTCATTTACAGTATTGGAACTCAGGATTGGAACTTCATTACTGAACCGGTAGATGGCGTAAAAAAATTTAATTTTTTCGATAAAATATTTTTTTTCTTTCTTAATAAACAGTATCCTATGTTACTTCTAATACCTCCAAGAATATGTGTACAAAGTTTCATGATGGTCGGTTGAGTAGTTTTCGCGTTGAAAGCGTAACAAACAAACTTACATTCACATTTATATATTAGTAGGGATGATAATATGGGGTGAAATTAAATGAAATGAGATGAGGTGATATGGTATAAAATATAATCTCAGTAAAATAGTGGTCGTTTACTGAGATTTTTTCAGTGGACTTTTTGGAGGATCCCGAGAAGTTACGTCCAGCGTCTTTGTTCCATTTTCCCGCACTTGTGCTCTTTCACAGATTCTGATATTAAACAGTTAATAAAACACCGTTATTACATATTTAAACCTGAAGAAACACTAAATAGATAAAAAAAAGCAATTCACACAATTTCACTCCTCGCGTTCCCGCCAAAAAGACCCATTGTCACATAAGAAATATTTGTTTCGCGACAGCAATGAAACGAAACTCCCCCGGCGAGCATCGCACACTGACGAGTGCCCGAGCTCTGTTCTCCGAGAAGCGAAGCTGCGCCTCCGGAAACTGGAGATCGAAGCGGAAGCCGTCCAGATGTCGTACTTACAGTTCCGGGGGCGAAGCTCCCAGGAGAAGAACCGCGCCGGACCGCGCCTGGGGACTGCTCTGGGCCTGGGTTGGTTTTTTTTTATTGCTTAGATGGGTGGACGAGCTCACAGCCCACCTGGTGTTAAGTGATTACTGGAGCCCATAGACATCTACAATGTAAATGCGCCGCCCACCTTGAGATATGAGTTCTAAGGTCTCAGTATAGTTACAACGGCTGCCCAACCCTTCAAACCGAAACGCATTACTGCTTCACAGCAGAAATAGGCAGGGCGGTGGTACCCACCCGCGCGGACTCACAAGATACTTATTATAAGATATTTTTCCTAAATTGTGGTATTTGATCTAAAAAAAAATTTATTCTATTATTTTTATACACACACGCACAGATACTAAGAGAAGCAAGTCGTTACAACAAGTAAACAGTCAAGATAAATTAGAATTTGAAAGGAAACAAATCGAGGAGGACCTCAAGAGAGACATCGATAAACATCTCAAACAGTACGCGACGAAACTTGATGTCATAGATACGCGTTTTAAGAACAGAACCACTAGTTCTATAGCGGCGGCGCCAGTGCCCGCGGGCCACAGCGCGCTCCAGGACAACGAACTCAACAACTACCTGGAAACTCCTCTCAGCGAGTTCAGGAAATATTATCAAACCGACAGAATTCTTAGAAATGGAAATGCGAACGCGCGCAAACAAAATATCGATTTGGACGCTCAAAATAACTCTTCAGATATTGGTAGTGTACCCAGCAAAGATAACGTTGTACACTCAAGTGCAGATATCGATGAAATAAATAGAGTTAAAGTTATTGAAAAACAATCTGGTGACTATAATAATGAAGAAGACAACGAATTAGCGAAAGAAACTTTAAATAGTGAAATATTAATTGACAATGAGAAATCTAAAACAATGATGCTTAGTGCCGTAACGAAATCTGTCAGTGACGATACAAAAGCAGATGAGGTTTTAAATGAAATTATAGAAACAAATAGTCTTATGATTGAAACGGTCCAAGCTGTTCCGATATCGGAAGGCGATGTAAAAACGCAATGTATAGAAACAGTACCGTCTGCAGAACCAATAGAAATTAATATAACGGATAACAATTTACTTAGAGTTGAAATTGAAAGCGAAGATGTCGGTAACAAAGATTCTAAAACGGAAATGTCGGTATTGGTCAGTCCACAGAGCGAAGTCGACTATAGCTTATCGCCGCGAATGACTATACTGGTTAGTCCGAAACGCGGTATTCCCGGAGAATCGACTTATAAACTAGCCGATCCGGACTTGGAAGGTTCCGCGAATGTTCTAGACTCGATATTTAAGGCGAACGATGAGGCCGCGTCCAGTGTGGACTTGCAGATAGAGCTAGAGAAAGAGGGTGATTCGTTGAGCGAAGGAAGGACCGGCGACAAGGACTACGGAGACGATTTCTCGGCCGACGTCGACAATTACAATAGCCGATCTTCGGATTTCGAAATTGACTCTCCCGTCTCACTGCCCAAGACATACGAAGATGAACAGTTTTGGGATTCATGAAACTTCAATTGCGATTCGACAGGTATCACTAATAAATTATAATATATAAAAAAATCGATATTTTTTTGGACATTAGTTAATCTAATTACTACTTTATTAAAATAGTCAAAAAAAAACATTGGTAATATTTTAAAAGAAAATTGGTAACATAAATAAAACAACAAACAGAATGTGTGTCATAATTTCTTTATATCTATCTGTATAAATCAAATCGCATTTTATGTATAAAAAAACAACAACATCATAGATATTCAATTTACTTTCTATCTATCTATATTTATTATAATATGAAAGTACAAACATTTCTTTAATCGGTACAACGTTCACACTTTATACAAGTCCGTAATACAATAATAATATTATACATCTAACACGACTCTATAAATGCTATATTACCTCATTATTATGTTATTGTCATATAAATATAAATCCAGTGTTCTCTCTATACATTTTACCGAAAATCGAAATAAAACTCGATACAACTGAAGTCACAAGATCACGAACCCGCCACTAAACCGTATGTTGAAATTAGAAAAATATAGTTTTAAATAGAAACGAACGGTTCTTGAATAATATAGTCAAAAAATAAAATTTTCCTTAACATCACGAGTGTAAAATGTAACGAACAATAATTTTAACTATTTTAAATTTTTTATTCAATCCTCTTAAATTATTTGTGTAAGGCCTTTCTTTATAAACGGAGACTCCCAATGCATAACGAATATGGAAAATTACAAAAAAAAAGAAAATTATTAATTTTCTCAATTTTCGAGTATTTCGATTATATTTAAGCAAGTTTTGAAAGTGTTTTAGAATATGAATGTTGTTGAATAATCACTGTCTTTATGTACCTTAAGCCGTTATACTAATTGTTTAAAAAAAAAGTATCCGTCACTTCAGTGCAAAGCGAAAAATCAACTATAATTATTTATTATTATACACAAGTCAAACAATTTAACTAATCAATTCAATATCATGTCCCGCAAACATTGAATGTCTAACATAAATTTAAAACTTATCATCCTAAATTTACAATTTAAAAATCCTCTTCGGACCAAAATAACTGTATATATATGTATATAACTGTCGAAGTCCGCGACCAAACTGTACAGGATGCAAACAAACCGCCTCTAAATAGGTCCAAAGAAACTATCATCCCAAGTTAACCGGAAAACAATATATATTCATACTATTATTATGAATTATGTGAGATTATTTGTTGCACTCACAACACAATATTCAACTAATTAAAATAAAATTTTAGATACACATCGTCAAAAGTACAGAAAAGGACATAGGATGTCTTTCATCGAGAGGAAAATTTCTAAATTAGTAATTCATCGTTATTACAACTACAGATAAAACTAATATTTATACTATACAAAAAAATAAACTGAGATTTATCCTTTAAATAAGGTACACTGCCAGATTGAAACGTTGTATGTAAAATTCTGCGACTTGCAATTTTTTTTTTTTAAATGTATTGTCAAATTAATTAAAACTTCTATTATGCATACTGGCCACTCGTCAAAATTATGCATATTTAAGAATATTAATAACAATAAAACCATTTTTTTTTTAATTGTTTAGTCACATATGAATAAGAAAAAGTAAGTAACATACACATGTTAGTTTTAATTTTAACATTTTTGATGTTAAAAAACCCTATATTTAGATTACGAACTTAACATATCGAGGGGTTAAATGCTATTATGGTTTAAGCGACATTTTTGCGACTTTACTCCTGTGAGCCATTTAAATTTTAAATTTTAGAAAAATATAACAAAAATATTTCTTCAACTATTTGAATGTAGTAAACTTAATTGAAGTTCAATTAAAAACATCGAATTATTGATACTAATCTATATATATGAATAAAATTGGAGTGTCTGTTTGTAATATTGAAATAACCGCTTTTTACTATATGCATATGAACATATTATTATATAATATACGGTACATACACCAAAATAACATTTTTTACAATTTTTGTCTGTCGTCTGTTTGTTTGTTCCGGCTAATCTCCGATTAACCGATTTTGACGTGGTTGACGATTTTTATGGACTAGCTTCGCCCCGCGGCGTCACCCCCGGTACGTCAAAAACCGCGGTTGACATCGCGGGACTCGGCTATCAATAATAAAATTTAATGTTTCCGAAGCGAAGCGAGGGCGGGTCGCTAGTAGCAAATAAAAAGCACCTTTAATTACAAAGATAAATGTCGTTCAAACCAAATAGAGCCATTCACCCCTCGATTTATATTGTGTATTTCTGAAACAAATTCTGTTACAAAAAAAAAACGGAAGAAAAAAAAACTCAATTTCCAAACTATTATAATGTATCTTTATGAATACAATATCACAGCTACACAACAAGATAAATTGTTTCAGTTTTAGAAAACCTCTCAGCGATGCGACTTCTGTTTAACTTCAATTATTTTTCTAATACGCGTTTTGTATTATTTATCGGTATCGGTATCGATATCAATAATAATGTCAATTTAAAACGCGTATCGATAGAATATTTATTAAAACCGTCGCGCCATTCACTGGAAAAAGGTTTTCTAAGTTAATCCGACCTGAATGAAGTCCGGCGTCTGTCCCCCGTCGACTCAGAAGCCGAAGCTGACGTTGTGGCCCGCGGACCGCACCGCGGGGGCCGAGCGCGGCGAGTTCGGGCCCGTCACGCGCAGCCACCGCGACACCTGCCGACATCAAACACCACCGACTGTAATCAAGTAGTTTTGAGTTGCTCACAACACAAACATTCACATTTATATTTAAGGCTATTGAAAACCGATCATGCTCCGTTGTGAGTATAGTAGTAGTTATTTTCTTTCTTTTTTATTGCATAGATAGGTGGTCGAGCTCACAGCCCACCTTGTGTTAAGTGGTTACCGGAGTCCATAGATATCTACAACGTAAATGTCGTCACCCACCATGAAATATAAATTCACCACCGCCTAATGTAATAACGGCCATTTGTTAAATTTATTGGCGGCATTAAAGGCTTCGTCAAACAGAACGCGTAATTAGCGCGCGTCAGAGCGCTACGCTATGACGCCGGGATGTGTTGTACTACTATGGTATGATACCGTCAAACAGAGCGGCAGCGCTCGCGCTATAGCGCTGGTTTGACGAAGGCTTAATGGTACCATACCATTATCCCTCACACTCGTGCAGACACACTACATTGACAAAGCTTGATCGCAATTACTTTTCACATTATGACGTCTGCAGGCCCCGGTCGTCACTTACGTGTCGAGTGACCGACCATGACCACTCATGAACATACATGCAGAATAAGGAAAGCTTAATAACACTTGTCCAGCCCCACGTTCTGTCTGTACCTGCAGCGAGATGGTGCGGTCGGGGCTGGCGGCCCCCGGCGTGCCCCCCGCCCCGCCCCCCTGCGTACTCCATGCCCCGCCCCCCTGCGTGCCCCACGCCCCGCCCCCCGGCCCGCCCCGCGGCGTGGAGCAGTGCGCGGGGGCGGCGAACGTGCGGCTCTCGGCGCGCTGCTCGTGCTCTCGCCAACTGCAAACAATCAGTCAACTTTACTTGTACTGTTTAAATTCGTGCCACGAAGACAATGATGCTCAATTAATGATATCAATTTTTCTAATGAAACACGCGTTCACTATTGACTGTAGTAGAATTATTTTGTCCGTGCAGTTTGGGTCATAAAACATAGCCCGGCTAGGGCGGTGTGCGTGTTGCGCGGGCCATTATCGATAAAAGCCAATGAGTCATCGCAAGCAGGTACACGGCGGCGGGGGGTATACGAAGGGTGGTGAGACATTGTTATGTTATCAGTAATTTGTTGTACCTACCTGCAAATTATAGTACACATGTCGAAGAGAAATGTGATTTTGTGCATTCGCTCTTTGAATATCTTTAGTGACGCAATGGCTACTCCTTTTTTTTGTACCAAAACGGCACAATTTATTTTTGCTTCTTGGCAAAAATATACCAGCACAAGCACGTATTTATTATTAACAATGTGTAAAAACTTTTCACTGAAATGGGAACAGATCCCGAAAAGTCACAAATTATTTGTTGAATATGGCGGTCGAATGAGCGTGGTTACTGAATTTCATGGGCCACCAGACGGGCTCGGCTGGATCGCATGCAGCATACTGATAGTCTGAGTTGTATTTAGTCTGAATTAGAACATTTAATTATATTCAAGTCTGATTGAAGTGTACTGAAGACGCGTCCGTTCGCGTGAGAGGCGCTTGAGCAGAGGGCGTACAGAGTAGTGAATGACAAACTGAACATTAACATAGATTATTACGGCTTCAGCACTGATTTTATACAGATAAACAATTTCTTTTTTACAGAGTAATAATTACATGTGAATTTGCGTGAACATTAATAATTTCTTAATTTCTGTTAATTTCTGCTGTTCTCGTTAACTTGCTGCAGCGATATGTAGTGTAAGTTTTCGATTAGTGATTTTTTCTTTCATTTTTATCACTAACCCACAAAATGACAAAACTAAATACACTATCGATAACGCTTATCGACAACAATAATGCGCATCACTATGCCCGTCCATAAGGCTCGTGAGTGGAAGAGAGAGCGAAATACTCGCTTCACCACTCCGATTATTTATCGCAGCTGCACGGACAAAATAATTCTACTATAGTTTGTTTGCTCTTTTGTCTAGGTATTTAGTATATATGTATTCAAACGTATATAAGTATGTATATCGGCCCTCGGTTCCCTTCGTACGAGGAACCTTAGTTTGGGGCTAGATGACCGCTTGTGACTTGTCACCGGTTGCTATTTAGTTATTCACAACCTTAAACCAATGTGTATAAGGCTTAACGAATCTCGTAACACGAACAAATATTATTATTTTTATACTATGATAGTTTGTTAGGGGGCCCGCTGGACGCAAGCAACGCAGGACCGCTCATTGTGGCGAGGTTTGGGGGAAATCTATAGATTATAGATAGAGATCTAATATAGTGCTTAGTGCTTCACTGCTAGATATATCTAGCAGTGAAGCACTAAGCACACTAAGCACACTGAGGGCCGACCTGTTTCTGTCGCGCGGCGCGTAGAGTCCGACGGCGTGGCGCCAGCGGTACACGCAGGGGTACTCGTCGGGAGACACGCGGCAGTCCGCCAGCGCGTCGTACACCAGCCGGTCCGCCTTGCTGGGCTCCTCGCTGCGGAGTCATACACACAACTAACTATACTGAGACCTTATATCTTAAGGTTTACTGGCGGTAGGAGCTCTTGTGAGTCCGCGCGGGTAGGTACAACCACCCTGCCTATTTCTGCCGTGAAGCAGTAATGCGTTTCGGTTTGAAGGGCGAGGCAGCCGTTGTAACTATACTGAGACGTTAGAACTTATACCTCAAGGTGGGTGGCGCATTTACGTTGTAGATGTCTGTGGGCTCCGGTAACCGCTTAACAACAGGTGGGCTCTGAGTCCACAAACCTAAGCAATAAATAGGAAGCGTTCGTTCATATCTAGCTTATAAACACTAGTATTTAACGGGTCCTTACAACAATTATTTAATGGGTTCTTACAAAAATTATTTAAAGGGTTTTTAGGACAACTTTTTATTCGTTAGATAAGACAAATATCTTTAGGTCGTGCTATTATATGTCTAGTTGTCGTTTTTGTATGCGTACATACATACAATAAAAATGAGAATCAAATAGAAATAAATGCATTCGTTTACCCGTATATGAATGGTTCGGCCGCAGCCCTGTCTAGTGCTTCGAACATTTCCTCCTCTGCCTCGGAGTGCTCGGAGGCGGTGACGTACGCGTCCTCCCCTTCAGAGTTGCACGACGCTATCGATTCATCTTCTGATAACTGTCAAATTGTAATTTAAGCTATATATCTAAAATAATCGTAAGGAATTTACAATTGTAGAGCTCATCTCATGGTTTTTCATTATGGTTTGGTTAACTTGTCACAACAGCAATTGTCTAATACTAATATTATAAAGAGAAAGATTTGTTTGTTTGTATTGAATAGGTTCCGTAACTACTGAACCGATTTGAAAAATTCCTTCACTGTTTGGAAGCTACATTATTCCCGAGTGACATAAGGCTTATGATCTTTTTTGAAAAAAATTAGGGATCGTTACTAAAACTCCAATAATGTTACCCAAGGTGTAAAAATTACCTAAAATATTCTTTACATCGCGTGCCCTGCGAAAACTTGACTGACTTTGTAGAACACATTATTATTTACAAAAAGTTTAGCGAAAGCATATTTTATTTTATTTATTTATTTCATTTTCTTCAGATTTTGCATCCATATTACACTCATTAGCATTTCATTGATACTAGAATTAAATAAAAATAATAACCTCAATCTCGGACTAAAACAAATATGTCTATTATAGTTATGCCGCAATAAGAGTTCTTTTATTTAAAACAAATAAAACAACGTCAAATATCGTTGAAATTTTTGTTAAAGACCCGAGCGGAGCCGGAGCGGGCCGCTTGTTTGTTAATAAAATAGTTTTCCAATACCTCAGCCTCGACAACTTGACACTTGTCCATCTGGACGGTGACGAGGGTGGGGCCGCCGTCGCCGGCTGGAGAGTTCAGCAACACCGGCTTCTCAAATTCAACGTTCTGGAGTTTACCGTCGCCTGAAATAATACATGTCATGTGCCATTTTTGATTTTATGTTTATAGCAAATGAGATATAGTAAAGATACTTTTTATTTATTTATTATATTCCTAATAGGTTTTTTTTAATGAATGTGGTATTATTGGTGGCCCGAGGGCTTACCAGTTTCATCAGGACAGGTGGGCGAGCAAAGGCTCAGCCAGGAGGGGTGGGATTTGCTAACAACTGCCCGAGCGCCTCCGAACGAGACCTAACAACTGTAGAGAAACTGCTTCGCGAATGAATCTACTACCGGATCGGGATCGCGACCCGCTGAGAAACTCAGCGGGCTGATGCATGGGTTAGGTTGCACGTCGACCTATTTGTCGAGGTTGACAAGTACGGTTACCGGGGTCCCTAAGCTTGTTCATGATGTTAAGAGCTGAAGGCGTCTAACGCAAGGGTTATTGGATCTGATGAATCCGTAAGGACGTGTCTAAGGCGTCGACGGTGACTGGCTCCTGCGTGATCAGGATTCGGGGAGTAGTCAGCGGCGGCTACGATAAGGCGATTATCATGACGCATAGCCTTATCGAAGTACCGTTCCGATGCTGACTCCGTGTGTTTTCGTATCGATTCGAGGCGCAGGTCGTCGTGTAAGTTGACGTTCCTCACGAACTGCTAATTGGGGTTAATGAGCGAGTTTTAAGTAGAAAAAATCATCGTAAAAATGTGGTGGTAAAATCGGGATGTATGAGCCTGGAGGAGTCCAGATTATTAGACTACTAATTTCTAATGGGAAGCAGTCACTAGTGTACTTTTCATACATTTATAACGATTATTCGGTGCAGCAGATCACTCACTCACGTTGTAGTTTCTACGGGTTCAGTACAACATCATCTGAATTCTTCTGTCTGCAAATGTTAATAAATCAAATAATAATTCAATTAAATTTACGAATTTCATACTCACCGATGTCATGGTCAAAGTTCAATCTTCTTATAAAGCTGTCACTCTTCGGACTGGTGGACAGGGTCGAGCGATTCTTCCGGAAGGACGAGTTCCTCTTGCTGCTCCGGTCCAGCTCCACCTTCCACTCGCAAAGGCACTTGCAGGCGTGCTCCCACAGCAGCGAGCACTCGCTCTCCGAGACCGCGGGGCCCTTGCAGCCCTTGGCCTCGTTCAGCTCCTCGCACACGAAGCTGGACAGACAGCGCACGTGCTCGTCGATGACCTGGGACAGCTTGTGGCGAGCGCGGTGGCCGGGCCGCCTCTCCTCGTCTGAACTGAAGATGTCCTCGTTGGGACACCGCAGCTTCACTAGAAACTCTAGTAACGTGCTGACGTCTTCCGTCCGCTGCCTCAGCTTGGAGACGACGAGCTGCGCCAGGCGCGAGTGGATTAGAGCGAAGTCGATCTTCTGAAAACGCTCGTCGTCCATGTACGTGGAAATCGTGTGCTGCAGGTGCTTCGCCTCAGAGCGGAGGGAGAGGGAGAGCGCCAGCGCGTCCGCTATCCTCTTGGCGAACACTTGGCACGTCCTCTCGATGCAGAGGAGCCGGCTGACGGTGTGGTTGGCGATGGGCGATGACTCCCCGTTGGCGGCGAGCTTGTGGGGCTGGCGACACAGCCGTTGCTTGACCGGATCGGTTCTGTTCCAATGCGAGGGTCGCTCGTTTGATATCTTGCAGGTTCTCATCGCGTCGCACAGTTCCGACATGGGGCTGAGGTTGGTTTCGACCACGGGACTGTTGTGGGACAGGCTGAGCGCGATCCTGGACACCGAGGAGTCCTCCAGCCGCGACTCTACGCAACTGTCACTGTACGCGAGCGACCACGCGCTCTCGTACTTGGCCTTCAAATAGTTCTCTAAGAGTGTCAGTCCCTCTGTAGTCCTCAGATCGGTAAAGGTTTCCAAAAATGGCCAATATTCCTTCCAATCCACATTCATTTCGTTAGCTAGGTTTCTGAAAAAAGAAAAAAGGAAGTAAAAATTTCAGGATTTCTACTTTTGGTTTTGTAAATTTGGGCTGATCGTCGCGACAGTTTCTGATATATAATGTTTTAATTCTGACAACATGAAAGTTTTACCGCTAAATGGCAATATTTTTTATACTATGATAACTTTTGGACTGCTTCGTTTGTGGCAGGCGGCGTGTTTAGGACCAGTGTGTTTAGTGCAAACTTTTCAACGTTCTCGATAGCGTAAAAGTTAACTGTAACTTGTATGCAGTTGGAACAGCGCCCCTAGCGGCAAATGTACGCAAACGTTCCAACTGTATTAAAAAAAAATTTTTTCTCTTTTTTTATCTACAATCAGTATCCAGTACTAAATTATTCAAATTTCAGTATTCAAATTTGAGTTAACTTTTACGCTATCGAGAACGTTAAAAAACTCGCACTGAGCCACGCTGGTGACCGTTTATATGGCACTACTTAGCAGCTTACATCAGAATAAATTACTAAATATTACTATAGCGCGGTTTTTTTTGCCTACATGGGTGGACGAGCTCACAGCCCACCTGGTGTTAAGTGGTTACTGGAGCCCATAGACATCTACAACGTAGATGCGCCACCCACCTTGAGATATAAGTTCTAAAATCTCAGTATAGTTACAACGGCTGCCCCACCCTTCAAACCGAAACGCATTACTGCTTCGCGGCAGAAATAGGCAGGGCGGTGGTACCTACCCGCGCGGACTCACAAGAGGTCCTACCACCAGTTTTATGTGGTCATAAGTCTTTCGACACGAGACCTAGAGGAGCAGGTTGATTGCAGACGGTACCTGCCCACGGTCTCGAGTCCCTTGGCGAGGTCGTGCAGGCGGAAGGCGGCGCGGGGCGGAGTCTTCCAGCGCACGCGCAGGCTGGCGGCGCGCTCCGCCCGCATGGGGCCGGCGTACGCGCGGATCTCGTACCGCGGACTCAGAGGGTCCGGGTTTATGTCCTGCCCAACGAAACACACGCTAACTTTAATCGTATAACTTATTAGATCATAAAAAATCTTTTGAACCGGACGGAGATTGACGAGCGAGGATTTGAAAAAAAAAAATTTGGTTACTAAAAACAAATTCCAAGAAATGTGTTAGACAGAATATCATCAATTGCCACATTAGCAATTAAGCAGCTAAATAAAAAGAAAACGAAACAAGATCATACTATGGTGTGCTGTGGCAAGTCACATATATGGAATAAGGCTTAATTAATTTTTCTGTATGCACCTGTTTTGAATTGCAATCCAGAATGTTTTATTAAATATATAAATTTATAATTTCTATGATTGTAATTTGTATTGTGCATCAATAAAGAAAAAAATAAGCAACATTAAGTTGCCAGACGGGGGCCGGGGGCACGGGGTGTCGGGGGCGGCGTGCTCACCGGCGGCGCGGCGGGCGTGAAGGGGCGGCCGACCTCGGGCGCGGCGCTGCCGTCCTCGCAGTGCAGCACGGGCACGTAGTAGCGCTGCTGCAGCAACGTCGCCATGCGCCCCGCGCGCTCCTCCACCCTGCCCGACGCTCGCTTGCATATTATCTGGAGGAACATTCACATCCAATATGAATACTCCAATGTTACTGGTGGTAGGACCTCTTGTGAGTCCATGCGGGTGGGTACCACTACCCTGCCTGTTTCTGCCGTGAAGCAGTAATGCGTTTCGGTTTGAAGAGCGGGGCAGCCGTTGTAACTATACTTGAGACCTTACAACTTATATCTCAAGGTGGGTGGCGCATTTACGTTGTAGATGTCTATGGGCTCCAGTAACCACTTAACACCAGGTGGGCTGTGAGCTTGTCCACCCATATAAACAATAAAAAAAGACATGCACCAGACGTCTTATCCTTTAGGCCAAGACGACTTAATCTACTAAGATTGGACAACGTATATACTCTAGATTGTACAGAGCAACAACACATGTGACGGCGCCTCACATCTTTGGCTTGCTCTCCGTACTTGTTGACGGCGGACAGGTCGCACTGCGGGAAGGAAGTGAGCACGTCCACCACCTCCTCGGCACCGAACTTGGCGGCGAAGTGAAGCGGGGTCTCGTTCATGGCCTTGTCCGGGGTGTTCAGGTATCGATCCACCAGGATGCCCGCAAATTCCTGTAGACAACAGATTTATATTAATGGCTAAAGGTCAAGTCAACGACTTAAAGTTTTCACTACATTTCTGTAGAATAGGGATCGCAACGCATAAAATCCCATAGACACAGCCCACTGAGTTTCTCGCCGGACCTTCTCAGTGGGTCGCGTTTCCGATCCACTGAAGTAGGAAACCTATGGAAATGAAACGTCTAAAAAAAATTCGTGCCACTGTGACGTCATCTGGCCACAAAACATGTCGGTTTTAGTGCTGCCCAGAAGATTTTAATGTTAGTAGGTTTTATCGATAAACGTTCTTGGCTTATTTTATTTTAAATATTGTTGAGTATGAATGTATTTGTAGAATTTATACTTGAATAGGAAGTAAGTATAAGTATATTGTTATGTGCAAAGATGATGTGATTTAGATATTATGTGAAATCTAAGACGAGTTCGTGCTTCAAATTTTCCAAGTAAACGATATGACGATTTTTAAAATTTGCTACACTGATTTTATAAAGTTGTCGTTTGCCGCAAAACATAAAGATATGGCATAGTACAGTGCTATTAGCCCATTTCTAGCATGCTAAATGTTATCGTATTTTGAGTACGTGTTTTTCTTAGACTATTACAATCTATTTTAATTGTTTTGCTGACTCTAAAGTCCGTAACACACTACCGCAGCGCACCTCAAGGAAGGTGCACCGCACTACCGCACCGCACGCAAATTTTAAACTTATCAAGGGACCGCCTGATAAAAAAAAACACCTAAAGAACATTATTATTCGTTAATGAAATTACAAACGTCATTCCTTGTGACTTCCTCTCTAACATCACTTATTTAATAAATATTTAACGAATTTACAATAGTGTTTTACTCACTGCGGAATAAAACTATTTTATTTAAATAGTTCCAAAGAGATTTTGTCGGTAGCCTTTTTCCCGAAATATCCAAACAGAATGTCTAAATATGTTTTGATGACATATTTTAAAGAGGTATTTATGATTAGTGTCATGATGAATAGATTCCGACCAAAAAATGGTGTCCGATATTTCGGATTCAAATATATTAAGTGTATAATATATGTTTCGGACGAGGGCTCCATAATGAATTTAAATATATATAAATAATAGTTTTGGGGCATCGACTTTCTTGAGATCCTATAAAATATGTTTTAATTATTATTTTTGTATGTTTTAAGCATGATAAAATAAGAAATTTTATTTGAGCAATCATATTAAATCGATATCAAAGTCAATAAATGATGTACAACCCAAAACAGACGGCCGAACTGACGTGACAATGACATTTGGCGCGCTAAACATGGCGGATTTTCGGCCTCATTAGACGGAGACGGAGACATTTACGTATATTCATGTTTCATTTTATGTACGCACTGAAATACTGTTATATTGTTTTCCTGCGAGTTAAAGTGCTGAGTAAGAACGAGATAGATATATGTTTATNCCCAAAACAGACGGCCGAACTGACGTGACAATGACATTTGGCGCGCTAAACATGGCGGATTTTCGGCCTCATTAGACGGAGACGGAGACATTTACGTATATTCATGTTTCATTTTATGTACGCACTGAAATACTGTTATATTGTTTTCCTGCGAGTTAAAGTGCTGAGTAAGAACGAGATAGATATATGTTTATGTGTGTGCCTTTAAAATGGGTGCTATTTATATAAGCAATTGTACGTATAGAACAATATGTCGTGTCCCTACTATATAGGTCTATGTTTCGATCCGGTGGTAGATTCTGCGAAGCACGGCTCTTGCTAGGGTTCGTGTTAGCAACGTCGTCAGGTTTAAGCCCTGTGAGCTCACCCACTAGTTAAGGTTATGCTGAACTAGCCTCTCTATCAGCATAGGTAGAAATTAAAAAAAGAGCATAAAATAAAACTTCCACTATTCCAAAATCTTCTGCTATAATAATAATTAAAAATAAATTAAGATTTTTATTACGCCTTGCTTATTTTTTTAACCGGCTTCGCCATTTCCCTTTTTTCTTTGTCATTCTCTTTTCCTTTTCTTTCCGTTTTCTCTCACTCACATCTTAACGCCCTGTTCCACATTCTTTTCATACGTTCAGTTCTTACCAATCCTATATTTTATTTGAAGACTTCGTAGCCCGCGGGATGAGATGCCCGGTGTATTCGTATATACTACACAGTAGTAATACTACTCTGCCGGTGTTATTATACTAATACTGCTGTGCCGAATCCCGCCGGCGGGTACTAATTTTTCTGATAAAATATGTACTAAGCAAATGTTCACGATTGAATTCCACAGTAAAGGAAAACCAGTAATTACCAGCACTAATAACAGTCCACCCATAGAAGCTATAAAAGATATATAAATTGGATTATAAATATCAATTTTTTTTTTGTTTAACAATCACGCCACGTTAACTAGTCCCGTGATAAGTTCGTGAAGAACTTGTGTTACAGGTACCAGATAACGGAAATAAATGTAAGATTTTTAACACATACATATATTTAACATACATCCATAACCCTGGAAAATACATTTATATTTATCATACAAATATCTTCCCTTGGCGGGATTCGAACCCGCGACCCCCTTGTGTAGTGACCATGTCACTTACCACTACACCAGACGGCCGTTCAAATTGGATTTTGTATCAGATTTTTTGAGTTACGATGTCGGGATTTTTCAAACCGTTATACATAATTGATTTCCACTGAATATTCGCTTTGAAAGCATCCGCATGCAAGGTAGCGGGTACGAGCCACTGGTGCCAGTAACACCAGCTTGGCACCGGCTGCGTGGGAGCCGGTTGGACGCACAAGTAAGATAGATCTAGTCACCTTGCAGGATTCCGGGTCCGCGTCGCCTCCGTACAGCTTCTGCACGAAGGCGGGGTCCCCGACGGTCGTCAGTATGAGATTACAGATCTCAGCATTCATAGACTTGGCCGCTACGTGCAATGCGTTGTAACGAGATCCTTCCTGTCAAATCATATTATTATATTAGATATACATTTTACTGGTGGTAGGACCTCTTGGGAGTCCGCACGGATAGGTACCACCACCTCGCCTATTTCCGCCGTGAAGCAGTAATGCGTTTCGGTTCGAAGGGTGGGGCAGCCGTTGTAACTATACTTGAGACCTTAGAACTTATATCTCAAGGTGGGTGGCGCATTTACTTTGTAGATGTCTATGGGCTCCAGTAACCACTTAACACCGGGTGGGCTGTGAGCTCATCCCCCCATCTAAGCAATAAATAAAAAAACATTTAACGTGAGGTATAGTACCAAAGTGACCATCACTGAATTAAGAATCATTAAGTTTCAGGGGACTTTTGGATACACCGTGTATGTATTGTTTTGAGTTTTTAAATGTATTTGTTGTAACTGAGAAAAGGATAAACTTATTGACTCACTCCGTAATTCGTTAATGTTCTTTTGAATTTTCTCAGTGCTGAGAATTTTATGTATGGATTGATCAACGATAATCACAAATTTTGCATCGGCATAATGTTTTTACTTTTATCGAATGCTTAGTTTCTTTTTCAATAGATGGCGTGGATAGTGGATTGAGGAAGGAATAAGGAAAAGGAAGTCCCGACATGTATTCTAAAAACGCATCTACCTGCATTATGGCTGGTGTGTTCCCGCTGCTGACTAAGAACCTTGGGTTGTCCCACACCCTGTCTCTCACGGTACAGGTCAGTCCGGCTTCGATGGCCTTCCGTAGCGACACCATGTCCTGGGGGGACGGCGCTTTGAATGGATACGGCTTCTCTCCCATAAGAGCTGGAAATAATCAACAATTACATCATAATACAGTTATTAGCATATCGATATCTCGAAAATCAAGGGGAAATCCAAAAAAATTCAACTTATTCGAGTCTTCTACTTTTTTTTGTCCCTATGCTGACTTTCTTTCGTATGAGACGAGATAGAAATATGGAAAGAACGGCTCAACCGAAGGAAGTCAGTCACGCCCCAAAACACCTGTCCAGAAAACACCTTTGGTACTGAGATAGCAATACTCGAATCAAGCGAAATGGAATCATTCTCAAGCAGTTGATCTGTTGTTTGCTATGGTATTGTGGGCGTTTCTTATCGGATGTTCCATAAAGAATTTGATTTCCGGTACCAACGATTACCTTATATGGCCATTATGAAGTTATAATAGCCGGCAAACTTCTTCGAGCATTTGTTGACGTAGTGGGGGTAAGTTTGCGCATGTACACTCACATGCAAAAACATTATTTACTCTGCGTCATAATGCAATTAAATTATTAAAATCAACATATGTATTTATTTATATATTTATTAGAACATCAACAAAAAATATAGGTTAATAATTATAATAATTTAATCTTGGGGTAAAATAGATATTCCTTCTATTAAGTCAAAACTAGAGCTGTTGCCAGGTCTTCGTTCNCGATAAAGGCCTGCCGTGATGTTTTTATAGGGAACACCTATACTTTTGACCACAATCTCAAATATATATTTGTCTTTGTCGTACCTTTACAAACACCTGAGATAATCGTTCCGCACCAGCGAGAGGGACATAGTTTTCTTCGTCCGCACCAGGTGAAATTCCGCGGCAGGCTGATTTGGGCCTGTTCCGCAGTGAACGTGTTAAGAAGTTGATCCGTTGTTCGCTATTGTATTGTGGGCGTTTCTTATCGGATGTTCCAGAAAGAATTTGATTTCCGGTACCAACGATTACCTTATATGGTCATTATGAAGTTATCACTAGTTAAAGCGCGCGGTTTTCATTCATTGTAACAACTAGATATTTTGTTTGTTTGTGTGTAATTATTTTTCGTATTAATTTTATATTTTAGAATTTTGTTACGACAGGGACAGAGCCAAGCTGCTGCTTACCGGTAAGTACTCTCCATAAGCCTCGTTTGGCCTATCTCTAGTTTCACCCATGGATAACAGATGGCTATATAAACATTATTTTGGCACGTATTGTTATTGCTTACGAAGCAGTGTGTAAAAGTAAATTGAAATCTCTATACTAGCCATGCTAAGATTTTTTTTTCCACAGGAGAAAATCGCCGGATCCCCACCCGCACGGCAGGTGGTGTATATGGGAGTCGAACCCTCACTAAAAACTCCTGCCGCTCACAGCCGGCGCCCTACTCCGGACAGGGCGGGAACCCAGTCGGAGCTATTGAGACGGCGGGACAGGGTTTACGCAGAGCACATTACATCCATCCCGCCGAGCTATGCTAAGCTTAGGCCACTTTTGCGCTGACGGCTTTATATATATTACACTACCACTGACACAAAAGGACATGATGTGCGTGAGTGAGAATATGTTTTTTCTTGGTCTACCAAACAGAAACAGAATCATGTAATCTATACAATATGTATAAATAAGTCGGTGCATGTATATCCCTCAATATAAGGCGGGACCGATTTCGATGCTATTTTCAGGTAATCTTCAGATTGGTCTAGGTCAGGGGGTCGGCAACCTGCGGCTCGCGAGTCACATGCGGCTCATTGGATATAAAACTGCGACTCTTTAGTCCCATACAAAAATATTATTTATTTTATAAAAAAAGAAAATTAAAAAATTTCAGAATCGACTAACGAAGATTGGGCACCATTCCTATCTCTCAGCCCATTGTTGTAAGTAAATATTTAATTGTTTTCATTAAATAATAAGTGATTATCTAATAATACCATATATGTATTATCTAATTAGCGATAAGCGATAAGACCGCCAATTGTACTTTTTTGTGTTTAATGTATCGCACTGTTTATTTGTTTTTTGGTGTACAATAAAGAATACTCTCTCTCTCTCTCTCTCTTTCTCTAATTTGTTGTAAAAACACTACTGACATAAAAATAAATAGACATTTTTCTTATCAATAATTAGATTCGTTTTATTGTTGGCAAGAATTTTTTTGTGGCTCTTTAAAACCTTTGAAATTTTGTAAATTGTAATGTTTGGCTCTTGCAACTGAAAATGTTGCCTACCTCTGGACTAGCTGATTCTGTTAAGTTTAATAGTGATCTAATCGGTCAAATTATAATAATATCATTCAGCTGAGCGGTGTTGAACTAATAGATCATAAATAACACTGCGACATTATCACATTGGTGATTGTTGTAATATTATTATTCTTTAGGAAACAAGACTAGCACAAAGTGGAAAGTAATTGCTGTATACAAATTCATTTGACACACATCACTGGGTTATTTGAAAAACAATCAGTTACGCTTCTGTTGTGTGCGAAGTGTGAATATTTTATTCTTACAAACGGTCACACAATATGCATTGAATTATGATTTTATTTTACTAAAACTTAAATAAAATAAAAAACTATAAAGTCACATATATTACTACGGCAGCAAAAGTAAGCCAAAAGTTTAAGTAAAGCACTGGTGGCAGAGCTTACTGTGATCCCGCATGTATATTGCAAGTTCGGATGGCGGCATTGACATCGCGTAGTCTATTTGCTCTGGTAACCATTAAACACCAGGTGGGCCGTGAGCTTGTTCAGACACAATAATTAGATATCACTACATAGTATAAAACAAAGTCGCTTTCTCTGTGCCTATGTATGCTTAAATGTTTAAAACTACGCAACGGATTTTGATGCGGTTTTTTTAATAGATAGAGTGATTGAAGAGGAAGGTTTATATGTATAATAACATCCATTAAATAGTGGAGAAATCAATAATAAATTACAGTTTCCGAAGCGAAGCGAGGGCGGGTCGCTAGTATATAAAGACAATAGGAGTACGACGTATTTAGCATTTGTCCAATTCATGTAACGAAATTGAATAAATAACTAATTAAATTAGTCTAAATATACAATGACGCACATAATTGGGTAGTGCCTTAAACATTAACCTAGATAGTTAGTGATTAGACGATTAAACATGATCCATAAAATGTAGCTGAAATATTTAATAAACATATTTTATATCATGCTACATTCGTTAATTACCTATTGGAGACAGACATATTCATAGTAAACAGTACTACCACAAGCACATTTATCTAAATTATTTATTGATTGAATATTGTTATTTTGATAACGTGTTCACTGTTTATAATGATATGAGGTCATTACTCTGTATCTGTTTTACAAATAAAAACAGAGATTCAAGTAGGCAATAAATGTTTGTTGGCTGTGTGCCTAAAAAACTGGTTTGCAATGTTTTGGTGTGATGTAAAATTATATCATTATAAAAATCAGGACGTTCCTTTTCTTTTTTTCAAATCGCCACTTCTTATTAATTATCTGTGACGTTATTTGGGGCCAACCAAATGTAAACATATATGTAATACATATTCCATTCGAATGAAAATTATGTTTATTGTGGTGTGAATAAATGTACAGAATTATTAGTTTCTTATTTGCAGACTCCAAATATAAAGAATTACTTAATATTGCATGGTATAGAATAACTGTTTTAATTTAATTAAAGTCTGTATTGTAACCATCTTTTAGCTTGTATAAATAATAAGTAAAACACATTAAAACCCTTATTTATTTTTGGTGAATTTATAGCACAGATAGTGTTAAAGTGGTTACCACAATCCATAGTAATCACAATATTACCACCTAACTGAAGACATGAAGAGGAAGCATCTTTTGTATTGTCTTTATAATAACTGTCTTGCCCTATCAATCAAAACTCATGACTGTTTCGTGCCAGAAGTAATTATTGCGGTGGCTACCCGTAACATCCACTATATTACTATTTATTACTATTATTATTACTATTTATTATTACTATTACTGGTGGTAGGACTTCTTGAAAGTCCGCGCGGGTAGGTACCACCACCCTGCCTATTCTGTCATGAAGCAGTAATGCGTTTCGGTTTGAAGGGTGGGGCAGCCGTTGTAACTATATTTGAGACCTTAGAACTTATATCTCAGGGTCGGTGGCGCATTTACGTCGTAGATGTCTATGGGCTCCAGTAACCACTTAACACCAGGTGGACTGTGAGCACGTCCACCCATCTAGCAATAAAAAAAAAAGTCTTATAGTAGTGTTTACTTACAATTGTCATTCCCGTCTGTGGTGTCAACAGGCTCGGCACCCCGTAGTGCAAATGAAATAGCATCCTGTCGGTTCCTGAATGCTTTGAATCTTGCTAATTTATATCTCTTCACTAGTTCTAAAGCGTCAGCCTTGTTCTCGTATACATGCAGGGCTTCTGTTGATTTTTAAACATAAATTGTATTTTTTTTTTGTATTTTTTTTGACGCTGTACTGAAAACTGTATTTTATTTATTCATTTATTTCGAAGCTCTGGTACAAGAACTTCAAGATGTAAATATTTTTTCAAACTATTCACTATGCAGTATTTGGAAGACATTAATTTGTTATGAAATTTATGAACATAGACTAGTCATTCTTGTACAAGCATTCTGCTACATTCATAGAATATTAAACAGTTTCTCAATTTTTTTGGATTTGCTCAAACTGAAGGAAATTTGTCTTTAATAAGTATTTAATAAAATTACTTTATTAGTCTGGTATTAAGCAGATGTGAATATGTCTTCTAAGTAGGTTAAGTGTTGTAACAATTGTAGACACCGGGTACTTGAGAGACTTTCAGTTGTTAAGTTAGCTCTTGTTAATTTGCATTGACCTCAATCTTTTAACTGATAATAAGCCAATAAGCTTAATATATGAGTCGTCTATTATCAAAGGTGGCAATCTGTGCATTTTCATTCTTAACAAACAACATAATGTGCAAGAGAATTAATGACAAAGCCAAAATGGTTGTTCACAGGCCTCACCTTCACATGAATGGAAAATATTTTGCATTTGTTAAACTAAGCATAATTACTTATACTTTAGCACAAGCACATTAGTGAACTCTAAATCTAAATTGTATATTGTTAGTCTGTTGATTTGGCATCTTAGCTTCTTTTTAATTGTGCTATATTGGGTGTAACCAAATCAACACAAACCTTCTTTCAGGTAGCTTTTTTTGGTAAATATATCAAGTCACCAAGGTTACCAATTTCTCCTTTTTGAGAAAACGGTAGGCAGCGGCTTGACTCTGCCCCTGGCATTGCTGAAGTCCATGGGCGACGGTAACCACTTACCATCAGGTGGGCCGTATGCTCGTCTGCCTACAAGGGCAATAAAAAAAAAAAAAAAAAGAAAAGAAGGACTTAAAATTTTAATAAGTGCTAGTGGTCTTAAATCTATAAAATCTTAACTGATTCAACTTACGATCAAGTAGACCATAGGCCGATCGTCTGCCTTCGGTGGCAATATAAAGTAAAAGATGTTGTAAGATTAATCAGAGTTAATTCAAAAGTTTTGGAAAGAGTTTTTTGCTGTCAAAACATTATGTTCATTAAGGAAATATTTTTCTATGGCAAATATTAAAATATCCAAATTTATAATTTTGCATATCAACCTAAGCAAACATGATTTGACCTACATACTTTATCAGAGATAAAACGATAATACCAACTAACAACAGTTTGAAACAATGCTTGTTTTATTAACCAAATCCTATTCATAATTCCAGGAAATTTAAAAAAAATACCTTCATCTGGTCCCTTTTTGATCTCGCACGGTATATAGACGCCATAGTACGTGACGGAAGGTTCAAGGCTGGTGGGACTCACTGGACTCGATCGCTTTAGGGATTCGAAACGTAAAAAGCGGCTCAAGAGCCCTATGGCACCATCTTTCTTTTCGCTGGGAGATATCGACAGCTCCTCTCTCATTCCTCCGATATCTTTGCTGCCAGGTATGACAACCGCCTTCGACATCTAAAAATGGTAAACACAACTTGTTTTGTTTATGACGCAAAGATCACCCCATTTGAATTGTGTCCAACTCATTACCGTGCGAATTAATGTTGTTAACACATATTTACTGCTTCGTTGTATCCTAAATTTTAAATGTGAAAAGCGATTTGATGCAAAATTAACACAGATTGTTAGGCTGAATGAAAAACGAACGTATTTTGAAACAGAAAAATTGAAATGCGTTGGATCTATGGTTGGATCACGTCGGACGGAAAACGTTACCAGTCATAGGTGACATTTGACAGATTGATTGAAGCATTACTAGGTATCATACAGCCATTTATAATCCAAATGACTTCTGATTAGACACAGTGTAATTCAAGAATTCAAGATGCGTAGAGTAAAGAGCAGATACTTTGTTAAAATTCAAATCTGAATTGTGGAAAAATTAAAAACACATAAAGCAATATTATTCGGCTTAAATTTTAATTTCGAAAAAATAACTAGTTTGTTTTTTTCATGATAAAGAAGCACTTATGTCTTTACTTTGACTCGGTGGTAGGCTTTTTTCCCTTACCTATTCGCTGGTAGCTTAAGAGGCTATCCCAGCATTCCCAGCTATGCCCGGACGGGTAGGTGAGCTCGCAGGCTCAACCTGAGAGAATTCGCTAACACTAGCCTTAGCAAGAGCAGTCCTTTGCACAATCTACCACCGGATGGGAATCGCGAACCTCTATGATGCGGCGAGAAATTCTGGGTTGAAAATAGTTGTAGCTTCATTTCATTATTTTACATCAAATAGAATTTTAAGGAAGAAGTTTTATTTTAATTTTTTTCTTATTGCTTAGATGGGTGGACGAGCTCACAGCCCACCTGGTGTTAAGTGGTTACTGGAGTCCATAGACATCTACAACGTAAATGCGCCACCCACCTTGAGATATAAGTTCTAAGGTCTCAAGTATAGTTACAACGGCTGCCCCTCCCTTCAAACCGAAACGCATTACTGCTTCACGGCAGAAATAGGCAGGGTGGCGGTACCCACCCGCGCGGACTCACAAGAGGTCCTACCACCAGTAACCAGTACCTATACACAAATAAGAAATGGATGAGGAGAGCCAAAGACCGAGCTCAGTAGTGTGAATCGGGAGAGGCCTATGTCCAACAGTGGCCGACTGTGAGCTGGTGATGATGATGAAGCATACACCCCAAATTTTCAACTTCTTCATTTTATTAGAGGCTTAATTAACAAGCTCAGGATCAGTGGCTATTAATAGATTTTTTCGTTTTTTTTTACCTTTACTCAAACTACAACTACGACAACTACCAGCACGGTGCTGTACCAATATTACACGGTCCAAGAATTGAGAATAATTGTAGCAGTTTTAATATAACACGATATCAATAAATCGAATATGCATTTGAGATTTGTTTTTTGTTCTTTGAATTGCGGCTAATAAAGGAAATCCCAATTTTATTGAAACTGATAAAGTTTTGGCTTGATTTGTTTTTTACAATCTAAAAAGTGATTAATAGTCTTTTTTTACAAGTTTATAAGTGAATAATAACTTCAATATGTGGTATGTAAAAAATTGAGTTGGAATGTTTATGAAAAATTTAAATAATATGTGACAAGATCAAAAAGCAAAAATTCAAACGAAAATTTATTCCCCTTGAAGATATTGGAATTTTAGATCGTATAATTGGAGAGAAACACCAACATCAATGGCAAAATTATTAAATTTAAAGCTACTATGTACCATAAAATTTTACACCTTAAGACATTGTTTCGATATAATACATTGCTTTTATTAATATAATTTTAAGGTTTTATTGAAGTTTCTATTTAATGCAAGACAAGGCCTCATCACTACACACTATACCTTGTTTTATATAATACAGTTTCTATATAGCACAGTACAAGTTATGTTATATGAGGGACACCTGTACTACAGTTCTTTGCATCTATTCACAGAACCACATAAAAAATAACTGAGCATATAAATAAAACACAAGGATAATTGATTAATTATTTATTACTTATTTTTCTTATTGTTTTTCTTCTTTTTAGCCTTTTTTATAATTGATTCATTCACTAATGGAACTGCATCTATTGCTTTATTTATAGAAAATGCATAAAGTTTTGCATTTACTGCCTTTAAAGTTTCTATTTCATTTTTCCATTTCTTTTCTTGTCCCATAAATGAAGTCTCAGTTTGTTGTATTATTTCTTTGATTTCATAAGAATTTTGTTCTGGCCAAAAACTAATTTTCTTATTTATCAAGACTTCTATTTCAGTAGCTTCATCAGAATCTTTTTCAAGTGTCCTCTCCAAACTATGTAGAACTATGTCAGGAGAAAATTCAGATTGAAAAATAGCTGGAAGGTTTACAGTAAAAAATCCATTTGTAATTGGCCCTTTGTGTCTTATAGTTCTTATTGGCTGTCGACTAGGTATGTGCCATAAAATAACATGCTCATCATTGGAACCTGACATCAGAGTTTCACCATCTAATGAGACAGAGAGACATGTTATAGCTTTAGTATGTAACGTGAAAACCGGAGATCCGTTTTCAGAATTGATCAATAAATCTCTGCTCCTAGGTGGATGGGCAAGGCTGAACTGATATATTTTACCTTCATTGCTTCCAACAAACACATTCAATTCTAAAACATCCATAGTGACAGCCGACAGAGGAACATCAAAGACTAGATTCAATAACATCTCTCCTGTAGATAGATCATATATTTTACAAGTCCTATCACTAGACACAGTACACAGACGTCCATGCATACCAAATTTACTTATAAACAAATCAGTTACAGGTAGGGAATGATCTGAGAAGATATGAACTGGGTCATGTTGGCCAGCAGACGACTGCGTCACAAGATCGATTTCTGGATGTGCTGCCACAGATGCAAGCGACCAAACCATTACCATTCCATCTTCAGCCGCTGATATGAAATACTTTCCATCTGGTGTGAATTTTAATGATACAACTTTCTGATAGTGACGGCTGATTATAGTCAACAGATTTCCCGACGCAGTCTGCCATAAGTAGATTTTCTCTTCGATTCCAGCACATATGTAGGAGCCGTCTCGGGTTATAGACAAGGCACTCGCTTTCCCGGGTAAAATAAACCGCATTCCTTGGACCGGCTGATGTGAATTCAAGGGCCATATGTGTAATATTGGTTTAGTCTTTTCTACTGCTGCTATATAATCGTTACCGATGAAAGAAAGCGTTTTTGATTCGGCAGTACCTCCACCTTTGTACGTCATGAGATTCGTACCGATATGTGAATCCCAGATGCTTGCTGTCCACAAAGGATTGTTACAGTCAGCGGTAACCAGTAATTCAAGTAAATTTGCCATTATTGATGTAATTTACTTGCAAACTTCACAAAATAAAATCATTACCGTGTGCAGATCCAGTACATTGTCACAAACCCCTATAGCAAGCAGCAACGGTTACATGTGCGCATGTCTGACGTTTGATAGTTTAACAAATTTGACAGTTCTGTTCACCTTAGACTACGGTACCTCACCCCTCCTATTTAGTTTATTCGTTAACGATATTCCCCGGTCGCCGCCGACCCATTTAGCTTTATTCGCCGACGACACGGCTGTTTACTATTCCAGTAGAAACAAGTCCCTAATCGCGAAGAAGCTTCAGAGCGCAGCCCTAGCCCTAGGACAGTGGTTCCGAAAATGGCGCATAGACATCAAGCCAGCGAAAAGTACTGCGGTGCTATTTCAGAGGGTAAGCTCCACACGGATTTCCTCCTGGATTAGGAGGAGGAATCTCACACCCCCGATTCGGAACAAGGTGACACTTTACAAAACTTGCATAAGGCCCGTCATGACTTACGCGAGTGTGGTGTTCGCTCACGCGGCCCGCACACACATAGACACCCTCCAATCTCTACAATCCCGCTTTTGCAGGTTAGCCGTCGGAGCTCCGTGGTTCGTGAGGAACGTTGACCTACACGACGACCTGGGCCTCGAATCTATCCAGAAATACANCGTCATGACTTACGCGAGTGTGGTGTTCGCTCACGCGGCCCGCACACACATAGACACCCTCCAATCTCTACAATCCCGCTTTTGCAGGTTAGCCGTCGGAGCTCCGTGGTTCGTGAGGAACGTTGACCTACACGACGACCTGGGCCTCGAATCTATCCAGAAATACATGAAGTCAGCGTCGGAACGGTACTTCGATAAGGGCATACATCGATATCGTCATGATAATCGCCTTATCGTTGCCGCCGTTGACTACTCCCCGAATCCTGATCACGCAGGAGCCAGTCACCGTCGACGCCCTAGACACGTCCTTACGGATCCATCAGATCCAATAACCTTTGCATTAGACGCCTTCAGCTCTAACACTAGGAGCAGGCTTAGGGACCCCGGTAACCGTACTCGTCGAACTCGACAAAGAGTTCGCCGTGCAACCTTTAACCTAACCCATGAATCAGCTCGCTGAGTTTCTCGCCGGATCTTCTCAGCGGGTCGCGATTCCGATCCGGTAGTAGATTCATTCGCGAAGCAGCTGCTCTTGAGCTGTTAGGTCTCCTTCGGAGGCGCTCGGGTAGCTGTTAGCAAATCCCACCCCTCCTGGCTGAGCCTTTGCTCGCCCACCTGTCTTGGTGAAACTGGAAAGGCCTCCGGGCCACCAGTAATCCTTCAATCATAAAAAAATAAAAACTACGGTACCGTACTTATGGTAGGTACCTACCTACTTTGGTACCGTACCATACCGTACCATTTAAAAAAAAACGCATTCAATCAATGAGAAAAAGAAATCCATAGATAATAACACGGCAAAACTGAAGGTCTATTTTTATTGATTTTGTAATTTTTTGGTTTTTTTTTTTTTTAAATTACTAGAAATATCTAGCTACTCATGACTTTTGTGATGATACTCGCTCATTATATAAATGATGTTTTTTGATTATTTATTTATTTTGAGAACAAAGTAAAGCGAGCCGTCATGTCATAAAGCTACAGATGCGGTTCTCTTTTGAGTGCAGCACTTTATAAATTCTTTGAATGCAATTATTTTCAACATTGAATTAGTTATCTTACTTTTCTCCGGCGAACAACTACTTGTAGTGATAATTTGGGACTAAGTAAGAATTAAAACTGATATTTCATAACACTATCTTGCATTACTAAATTTATTATTACTCTGTAGTCAATCGCAATTGGCTGTTTTTGTTTGTTTCGAGGAAGACAAGAGTCTGTGGTTCTTTAATAATTTATTGGTTTTGTGTTTTTTAGTGATCGTTAACTGTGCTACAAATACATCAATATGTTTAAAAAGTAAGTTCTAGTTTATATGCATGCATTATTATTCGTTATGTAAAACAAAAATTGAGTATTTTTCTTAAAATTCTAGCGTTTAGAGGTTATCTTGTCATTCACACACTCTTTGGCAATTGGTCAAACCAATTGTCATCTAGTTCATCCACTAGTCGGTTTATCCAATAGCAGCCAGCCATTACTGTAACAGTGTTACAAGTTTTTAAATTTTCTTCCTAATAGTAGAAATAATTACTTTACTCCTAAACAACTTGTGAAGTAATATATTAAAATGGTTCTATCTTGGAAAGTACTAAAATTTGTTTAATCTTTTACATCTCTTGAATTTGTCGTGGCCTAAGGGATAAGACGTCCGGTGCAATCGTGTTGAGCGATGCACCGGTGTTCGAATCTCAGGCGGGTACCAATTTTTCTAATGAAATACGTACTCAACAACTGTTGAGATGTCTTCCACGGTGAAGGAATAACATCGTTATGGAAGTATTTTGTGAGTATGTGTGTGATTTAATCTGTTAAGTATTTTATTAACAAAATTGGTACACGACAGCACGAAATTAAATAGTAGCACAGTCCCATCGCTCAAGACTAGTATTCTGGATCTCTTATATCACGTCGACTCCAAAAGGACGTAGCGTGCTAAAAGCAAACAAAGTGTATTTTTATTGCAACTTTTTTAATATTGTCCTATATAGATTTTTAAGCTCTACTTTGTTATTAAGAACTATTTTAATTTATTTTAAGAGAATAAAATTAAAGAAATTTAAGTTTCATAATCACGTAAAGGGAGGAGCTCTGACACATATTTAATTCCAGAATCCCGATATCGAAAATGAAATAGGTAAATTATTTTAAAAATGTATTTAAGCAAAAAAATAAATACCATCGGTTAATTTGATAAATTTGATCTAACAACCTTTTATAGTTTTTTTTAAGGGATTTTATGACCTGGTAACTGCGATCTTTATTTTATCCATTTATAATATATACTAGCTACCATAGACTATAATACAAAGATTAATTCTAGTGTTCTATAATACTGTTCACACTTCACGCAGTGTCGCGCATAGAGTTCAGTAGGTAGGTACCACAACGACAACGATAGTCAGTAAAGTTTTTACAGCTGTAGGAAATCGCACCCTCTGCAATAGTAACTGACGATAGTTCATTTCAGTGTATAAAATTTTTAAGCTAGTGGTCTGTCGAAGTGATTTTTAACGAACAAAAACAACACAATCAGAAGTCATTGGGTGTAAATTTTTTGTGACGTAATTGAACTTTTGATTTTCGAATAACTGTTCGTGTACCGCTAACAAAGGTCACGGCGGCCAATGGTTGCCAATTTCCCATCTTCGCGTGATTGAAACAAGCGAAGATGTGGGAAGTGGAATCTGATATTGGATCCCAAAGCGTCTCCTCCGATGGATTGCGACGCAGGCAAGGATGGGATCCCGATGCGGAGAGCCTTGCCTCTCAAATGGACGAGCTCGACGAAGTCCTCGCAGAAGAAGAAGAAGGATGTCCGCTGCCTTCAACACCGGAGGATCAACATCTGTTGGATGCCGAAATGGCTGAAGTTTTGAAAGCTGGCGTGTTATCCGATGAGATTGATTTGGGAGCACTGGCCCATAACGCCGCCGAACAGGCCGAGGAATTCGTTCGCAAAGTATGGGAGGCGTCGTGGAACGTGTGCCATTTCAGACATTTGCCACGTTGGCTGCAAGACAACGATTATTTACACAAAGGACATAGACCGCCTCTGCCTTCGTTTAGCGCATGTTTTGCATCAATTTTCCGAATCCACACTGAGACAGGTAACATTTGGACGCATCTCCTTGGCTGCGTGGCATTCATTGGCGTCGCGATCTACTTTCTGTCTCGTCCATCTATCGAAATTCAAATGCAAGAGAAAGTTATATTCGGTGTTTTTTTTGTCGGCGCTATCGTATGCCTCGGTTTTTCTTTTGCCTATCACACACTGTACTGCCACTCTGAGATGGTCGGAAAGCTGTTCTCAAAGCTGGATTATTGTGGAATAGCATTGCTCATCATGGGCTCCTTTGTTCCATGGTTGTACTACAGTTTCTACTGCCACTACAGACCGAAGATCATATACCTATCTGTAGTAGTTGTTTTAGGAATTTTGTCAATAATAGTGTCTTTGTGGGATAGATTCTCAGAACCTCGACTAAGACCTCTCAGAGCAGGAGTTTTTATGGGCTTTGGTTTATCTGGTATAGTCCCAGCAATTCACTATGGGATTACCGAAGGCTGGTTCAGTCAAGTTAGCAAAGCATCATTGGGCTGGTTAGTTTTGATGGGATTACTCTATATCTTAGGTGCCATGTTCTATGCCTTAAGAGTGCCAGAACGTTGGTTCCCTGGCAAATGTGATATTTGGTTTCAGTCCCATCAAATATTCCATGTTCTTGTGATTGTAGCTGCTTTTGTACATTACCACGGTATAAGCGAATTGGCATCTTACAGAGTCACAGTAGGAGAGTGCTCCATGCCACCAACATCAATGGCATTTTAGTACAAGTTAGACCAAAATGTGATAGTAGACCATATAAATTACCATATTAACAAATAACAGAAACATCTGTTAGTTGCACTGTACATAATTATAGAGTGTCATTAAATGAAAGTTACTGGTATTTGTACATTTTTATTGAGAAAAAAAAAATCCAATAGTCAATCTGACATTTTTTTTAAATCTGTTAAGATTTTGATACATGTACTGAAATTACAAAACAGTTCACAAATTGGAATCTAGATTGATGGTAATAATAAATTCTGTTAAAAATGAGTTGTTTATTTAATTTTATTTTAATTGTGTTGAATAATCTTGTTGCACTGAAATGTTGTTATTGTAGATTAAAGATCACAGAAAACATTGTATACAGTTTAAGAAGTTTTTGGTGTTCATTGTTTATTGAAATAATTGTACTTAACTTTGATTTGCTTACTTAATTCCTTGCTTTTTTTGCACTTAAATAATTAAAAAATATCATTGTAGGTCAGACCATAAGTAAAATCCAATTATGCCGTTTTATAAAATAAAAATGCTTTGATTAATAATAATAAACCTTTTTTAATTTATTACTAACACATACACAAAAAAATTATTAATTTTTAAATGTTTATTTCATATTTCAATTGAATCTCAACATTTTACACGTTTACATATTGCAATTCCAAATGGTAATTAACTGATATTGCCATTGATTTATTAATGTGGAAATTTTCATATTTTCTTATGGTTTTTTACATAGTAATAATAAATTTAACAATTAAACTTTTATGAATGTTGATACATTCCATTTTTTTATTCATATCATAGATTCAATTATAACCATGAAAGAACAGTGATAAATGTAAAAAAATATAAATTAATTGAATTTATATTCTAAATTATTCTAAGTGTTCAAATAATAAATAAATAAATAAATGATTATAAATTATAAAAATATGAGAAATACGAAATAATATTAACGTATTATGAAAACGAAAATTATGTATTATTATCATTAAAAAAGTATATTTTGATATAATAAGAAATTACTGGCACTTTGATTGTCTGTGGTCAGTTATCACTAAGACAAATATAATATGAACAAAAACCTACCTATGCTTTGATTAAGTTTTAAAACATCAAAAACCACTAAAATATTGCATATCAAATAAAGATTGGCTTTCTTTAGTTTTTGCTCCTTAAAGACGATATTATAATTTTAAATCCTCTAAAATTACCAAATTCATAAATATTTCGTGACATCCATAACATCGTCTTACTAGGAAAACATTTAAAAATAACAGTTTTCAGCGTAGATGGCTTGTTTGCCAAAAATAAACTTTAGTTTAACCTTCTGTTAGTTACACAGAAAATTATTGAGTTTTGTTGATCCAAAGTGTTTTTTACTAGCTAATTTAGTTCTTGCCTGCAATATTATCATTAAGTTTTTGTTTATTTACTTAAATCTTATAGTCCGCAATAATTAATTTCATTAGAATACATATTGGAAACTGTGAAATTAGTGTTAAATTTGAAACTTTGTAACATTAAAATTGTTGTATGTAAGTTAAATATTAGGAAAGATAGATTGCTTTCATTGTTCTAAAATTGTTTGATTACCTTTTCTTTTGGTGGGTTAACAATTAAGAAATAAAATACGAAAAAATCCATTAATGTATTTTATTTAAAAAAAATAAGTGTCTCGTATTCCTTTATTGATCGACTTTCTTGGCGCTGATATTAAGAATCCAAAACTTTTTACTTAAAATCGAAGAAAATAGAGTTTGCCATGGAATCGGCAATAAAATCAGATAAATCGATTATTTTATCTTCTGTGTAGTACGGTAAAAGCCGAATCCCGAATTATAGATTGGTTCAAGCCATTCATGATGCAAGTGATTAAAATAGCGTTAACTGTCTCGTGAATTACGTTCATGGTTCATGGTACCAAAAGCTATTAAAAGTTTTAGGGTAATGCAAATTCAATATTGTCATTCGAATCGAGTGAAAGATGTGAAGAGTGGCCTAAAGGATAAGACGTCCTGTGCATTCGTATCTAGCGATGCAACGATGTTCGAATCCCGCAGGCGGGTACCAATTTTTCTAATGAAATACGTACTTGAGCAATGTTCACGATTGACTTCCACGGTGAAGGAATAACATCGTGTAATAACAATCAAACCCGCAAAGTTACAATTTGCGTAATTACTGGTGGTAGGATCTCTTGTGAGTCCGCACGGGTAGGTACCACCACCCTGCCCATTTCTGCCGTAAAGCAGTAATGCGTTTCAGTTTGAAGGGTGGGGTAGCCGTTGTAGTATAAAACTCGAGATTTTCAACTCCTAAGGTTGGTGGCGGCATTAACGTTATAGATGTCTGGGCTCCGGTAACCACTTAACACCAGGTGGGCTGTGAGCTCGTCCAGCCATCTAAGCAATAAAAAAAATCAAAATATGTCTGTATTGAAGTATGCCCTAGAATTTCGGTATGTGCTTAGCCTAATACTAAAAAAGAATCTGGAGTAAAATATCAGGCGTGCCTACTCGTATCGGCCAATGCGACGGGTTCAGTACTACGGCAGGTACCAATTTTTACAAGTAGATATTATGTCCCAATTAAAACGTGTTCACAAAGATCCACGATTACGGAATGGCGCGTTTTGTAAACATCAAACTTGTAAAGTTTATGCGTTATTTCCCATTAGCAGTGAACCATGGATACTCAGCTTCCCTCTCAGTTCAGGATTCGTCATATACCTGAAAGCAGCACCCGTGTACCTAAAAAATACCAAAACCAAAAACCCTGCACCCAATAACTATTGAATATATCTACTTAGCGCTAACGATATTGTAATTTTGTGGGATACGTTACCAGTATTCATATTATATTCTTCTTAATTATGTATTTCTATAACGGGATTCCACCATAATTTTTAGTTCAACGAGTTCGCTATATTTCGGGGCTATTGCAAGCATAAACTATTCTATTCAGAATGCAAGGGTTCGGAGTTTAAATTTGCTGCAGGTCCGCGCTGGTTTAACGATGCGCTGGATCCAGCCCTTCTGGGCTTACGAGTAGACGGTCCGTATCATGCCTCTTTCTGTCATGAAAGAGTTAGGCGTCGAGGTCAAGAGACATGAATATCATATCCAAGGTTTCCCGATAACTATTTAACTGGCCTGGGAGCTCATCGGAACATCTACTATCAATAGAAAAAGTTTACCAAAACCTCTGTAGTTAGTTAATCAATGTTTTTATTACAATAAAGTTTTTCTAGCACATTTATCGATCGCGTCTGACCTTGGTACATGAAAGGTAAAGCCGTATTGGACATTGTAATTACAACATAAATCATGAATTAGTGACATGTCAATTAATACTCTATTGTATTTTGGATATCATACCTAAATATTATTCTCCCGTTTTCCATACTTTACAAGTATGTGAAAGTTGGCGAATTGCACCCAATTTGTTTTTATGATCTTGTAAAGTTCTTGGTCCAATTGTCGCTTGGTTTTCCTCAAAGTCAAACTATCTTAAGCCCAAGTCAAAGAAAAGTAAGATATAGATATAAAAGTTGATATGTATACCTATAGTATATATACAAATTCTGTAGACACATGCAATATTTAGATAGTCTTTATCTCGGCTCGATAGTTTGTTTGTGAACCGACTTGTGAGTGTTCAATCGACCTAAATCCTTAAGTTGCTTTTATCGGCTCAAAACAAAATATCTTACCGTTTTTATCTGTTATTGATTATACTTTAGATAGGGACCTAATTAAGTTCCGGTTTCAAGAGTTGGGCCACCACAATTGAGGCTTCGATGTCTCAAGGTGAGTTGCGGTATTCTTGTTATGATGTTTATGAGATACTTTAAGTGGTCTGCGAGTGTGTCTGTCTATCTAGCTTAATAAAAAACAAATTACATTTAATAATTTAATATATGCATAGCTCCATTAGATCGAATAGATTTTATTGTCATGATACGGACATAGTTTTATTCTTCATAGCTTGATTTCAAATAAAATTCATTAAATTCGTACGGAATGTATACGATGTGAAAAAGACTTATTGAATTACATCTCCCGAGATCAGATCACTTCGACATCATGTCGCAAGGTGGGGATTGCTGTTCACAACGATGTGGCGAGGGCTCGTTTAGCAGCGACAGCTGCCTTTGCAGATTTTCCATAGTTTTTTTTATAATTTTTTTTCTTTATTTATTGCTTAGATGGGTGTACGCGCTCACGGCCCACCTGGTCTTGGTGGTTACCGGAGCCCATAGACATCTACAACGTAAATGCCGCCACCTACCTCGAGATATCAGTTCTAAGATATCAGTATAGTCACAACGGCTGCCTCATCCTTCAAACCGAAACGCATTACTGCTTCACGGCAGAAATAGGCAGGGTGGTGATAACTATCCGTGCGGACTCACAAAGAGGTCCTACCACCAGTAATTACGCAAATTATAATTTAGCGGCTTTCATTTTTACCACACTATGTTATTCCTTCATCGTGGAAGTCAATCGTGAACATTTGCTAAATTCATACATTAGAAAAATTGGTACCCGCCAGCGGGATTCGAACACCGGTGCATAAATACGAATGCATCGGACGTCTTATCCTTTAGGCCACGACGACTTCTGCTTATTCGCAAAGGAAACAAAACAAGGCATTAATGATCAACCTCAGCAAGGTTAATTGCGAATTCTTCGGTCTCCGTTTCTAATTAAAAATATTAATTCATATAAATGTTTGTGACCACGTCATCGTTATAAATATTAAGTCGTAGTTACAATGAATGTCAAATAAACATTTAACCTTATCAAATGCGAACGAGAGGAGTGTATCTAGCACTTGAAAAAATTATTGTAAATGGAAATGTAGGTATATAGCGTAACGTAATGTATAATACAACTTTTATCCCGCTCTTCAAACCGGAAAGCTTATCAGCTTCGCGCCAAAAAAAAAACAGGTTTCCAGAACGTCATAGAACAAGTAGCTACGTTAATTAAAATTTTTGCTGGTTTGATTTTTAGCACACGATGTATCCTTCGTAAATCAGACATAGACCATTTTCTGTGCATCTGCTTATAACTTGAACAATTCAACAAAACAAAATAGTAATTCCAAAATATAGTGTTTCCTGGCCTCATATGTTTTATATGCGCAGAAATTTTCCATTATTATTTGAAACGACCTAATAAAAGGACAAAATGGCGACTTCCTGCCGCCAGTAACGTCCTTGATATTCCCTACGATATAGCGGTAATAACTCTTGTAGGTAGGCGTTCAATTAATGTCATAACGATGTCAACACCAAACCTCTTAAAATCGAAGGGAATCGTTTTGTTCATCCAGAAAAGTGTTAAAAGCTTTTGTGTGTCATATATTAGCTGTTAACCGTGGCTTCGCCCGTGTGGCTAAGAACAAGGAGCAATTATTTTTCTTTAATTTCATAATTTTTCTGAAGATAATTAATAAAAAAGCATCTCATTCCCATGAGAATGAGATGCTTTTTGGAGGTAGAATGTAGTTTCAATCTCCTGACCTAAAAATATCAGTTTAAAAGAAATATCAATCCGTTGATTCAACGTGAAAAGAGGACAAATAAACATAGAAACTAACGTCCTTTTTT